TTCTCAAGTCCATTTGTATTTCAATCTGAAGCTATCAAACTCGATCAATTCGTCCTAAATCTACATACCATTGATTAATGACACATTTATAAAAATATATTTTCAAATCTTCTATAAATTGACCTTTTTATTACTTATAAAAATAATTTGTCGTTTATCTCAGACTTGACATAAAATAATTTATCATTTTGTCAAAATAAATTTTAAATATGTAAGTACTCTGTAAATTAAATTTCTAAAACATATTTTAAAATGAAAAAAGAAGTATAAAAAACAGCATTGAATTGAAAAATGTAACAACTTAATTTACGAGATTTTTATTTAGCAACTATTCATATTTAAAATCCTTTTATAACATAATTTAAAAAATGCACCTAAGGAATTTTAAAAAGCGATTTCTATTTTACTTTTTAAAACGAAATGCTGAAAGTTCAGTAAAGTTCTTTGTAAAGACAGGGTGGACAGTTTCAGTGTTTCAGCTGTAAATTGACTGAACTGAGAAATTTTCTGGCCCCAGTATCCGACAGCGAGATTAATGGTAGTACGGTTACGCGACAATTTTCGTCTGGACACGCTGGCAACAGTAAATAAGATTTAGTTTCCTTTTTGTTTTCTGATTCTTTTGGACAAGAAACATAGTTGAAATGATAGAATTATTTGCTTATTTATATATTAATTGATAGTCGCTTCAATAGAGTTAACAGGTACCTAATGAAATGAATGTGCATAAATGTTCTGATTTTAACCTTTAACTCCATAGCGTGTGAAGTATATATCTATTGAGATTTTTTATTTATTTATTATCTGTCCACTAATGTAGGAATCACAAATTAAATTTCCCAAGTATCACCTACGCGAGAACATATTTAGTTAGGTTAAATAACCTGATAATTATTACCGACGACCTGAATGAAGGCAGTTCTCCTTGAAAAGGCACGTATCGTGAGGAGGTTTCTGTCTTTAGAGCGGGAGACACACAATGAAAACATTAACCTACAAGTAAAATGCTCTAGTTTTACCTGCCCTTAATATTTAAAAATAAAACTCTTAAGGTATCTATAACTTATGATATACTAATTTTGGCCAGCGGCTTCACATTGCTCCAAATCATTATTTAATTGAGTTCCAAATTTCACTTTAAGTTACATACTTCTTCGGGAACAAAAGTACCCAGTGTTACGCCCAGGATATTAAAATATAATCATATCAAGTTTCATCGTAATCAGACCGGTAGTTTTTGTGTGATGCGTGAACATACAGTCAGACAGATAGGCAAATAATTATTTAATCACAGTTTTGGATTCGGTGCCTATCCAGTAGCACCCTACTAATTACTTTTTTAATATTTTCAATGTTCAGAATTTACACTTCTACAGAATTTAATAGATGTAGATAGATACCCACATTTTCTTTTAGATTTTACCCTTTACCTCTTGACGGTATTGATCAGTAAATCTAAACGCGATTACGAGGCCATTTTTCCACCTGCCAATGTGTCCAGATTTCAATTTATTGTAACTTTATGTAGGTACGTGAATAGAAATTATAGTTTTGTGAAAACGCTGGCTTTTATTTCATTTTCGAATATTCATTATTATATACATTTTTTCTTAGTATAATAATAATAATAATGATAATCTTTATTGTACACCAATTTGAGACAGTATATCCAGGAACAAATAAAGAAAATAGGGTACAAAGGCGGCCTTATCGCTAAAAGCGATATCTACCAGGCAACCTTTGGGTGGATAGAATACTATAGTAGGATATTAAATGAGGTAGTTATAGCTTGGCGTACTGAGGTGCTTATTTATATAATGTAAAAGTGAAAACATTAAAAAAAACAAATTTATTTACTTCTAATATAGAATTATATACATACATACACACATACATACATACATACATACATACATACATTCATACATATATACATATACTAATACATACATAAGTACATTTAGAAACAAGATACAATGACAGATAGGTGACACTAGGTGAAGAAACAGCAATGAACTATAGTGTGGAGAGATAATGCTCCCTCACGCGTGCCTTGAACGTGACCAGTGACTTTGCTTGTTTTATGGAAGGGGGAAGTGCATTCCACAGTCGAATAGCTCGAACTGTAAACGATTTATCGTAGGATTTGCTCTCATGCTGGGGCATCTCAAGTCTCAGATCTCCCGACGACCGTACTGGTCTAAAATGTGAGATGTAAACGAGCTATCAAGAAGGCTTTTAGAGACCAGACAGATATTGATACGGCTTTACAAACTTTTCTTTTAGCTTATCGCAATACAGTGCACGGTACCACCGGGGAAACCCCAGCCATGCTTTTACAGAGACGGACGTTACGGTCGAGACTAGATCTGTTGCGTAGTGATCGTGTCATTGAAAACAGAGTACGAGAAGCACAGGCGCGTCAAGTAGAATACGCGGGTGGAACTCCTCGTAAATTTACAGAGGGGGACTCAATTTGGGCACGGGAGTACGGCTCTGGTGATAAATGGGTGAAAGGCACTGTACGCGGGGTGGACAGTTTACGTAGGTATTCAGTAGTGGCGGATAGCGGTCAAACTTACAAAAGACACATTGATCAAATGCGTCGTAGATCCCGATTTTCCGATGTTACCTGTCCGGGAGGAGATGATGAGAGTCAGCGGGGTGAAGGGAATGTTGTCGAGCCTTTAAGCAAGGGTTCAGAGGAAGTAACTCTGCCAGAAACAGAGACTGTAAATACTAACCAGGGCGAACAAGAAGGTGTTCCTTCTGAACACTCCTCACCTAAACTACCATCGCCATCTGTGCCACCGGTGAGTCGTTATTCCAGGCGGACACGGAAACCGGTAGATAGATTTAGAGTAGAATAAGTTAGTTCATAAGAATGCCTAGTTAAGTTAGCCTAAGAATACTTAGTTAAGTTATCAACTCTTGTAAATTAGTTAATAAGAGATTTAATTCTAGATTAGCGGTGGAGGTGTGATGTCGGTCAATTGGGGGTACTTTGATAACATTAATTATTGTATGTGTGCGGCAGCCAGTCTGCGAATATACGCCTTGTAGCTAAGTCGTTGTTTGATTACGATTCCGATATTTCTCAGAAACGTAAAAAAATTAATTGTCAGTCCGCCTGTCTGTTAGTGAAGCTAGGTGCTCGTTCTAAAGTGTAGATTTGAATGGAAAAAACGAGAATGAAACTCCATCGTTACTCTAAAAATTGTTTCTAGTTTCACTGAACAAACACATAGTTCATATATAACACTAGTGAGAATAGAATAAATCTTTGATTATGATTACGACAACTATTATTGTAGGGTTATTTCACTTGACTTGTTAAAAAAACAAAAGAAAAGATGGCGGTAATGACTTAAAAGTTAAATTTCTCAATATTTTTATTCACTGACCAATCATGAAATGAATTTCGGCTCCGCAAAAAAAACATCCGCTAAAATAAACGAATTTGTAGTTTATCCGCTTAAGTAGTACACAGATACCCCTTGGCGTCGCGTAAAATAAGATGTCAGACATTGATGACAGTTGCCGGCAGCAGCATCAAGTTGCCGGAGACCGTTTGATTTATTTCTTGGAAAACTATAGCTGTTATAGATTCATCTTACCCACCTTCCTATTTTATACTTGGAAAATTCGAGAATAATTTTCTCAGTAGATAGATAAGACCGCCCATTGTACACTATTTTTGTTAATTTTATTTTTTCATTTTTATTTAAAAAAACAAAGACATTAAGATTTTCTCCTATATCGTGGGTGCGTTTACATACAAAGAAGTTCGCATACACAATGACAACCAGACCCGAAACAACAATTTGTGGATCACACAAAGTTTTGTTCCGTGCGGGAATGGCACCCGCGACACGTTGCAAGGCAGTCGGTTGCCCAGCCACCGCACCAAATTATATTATACTATAATGCGATTGTGTGGTGTACTATAAAGCATAATTATATTAGGTATTATTATTATTACTTCTTGCAAGTACTTGTAATGTTCACAAGTGTTGTTATCGAGTTAATGAATGGAGGGATGAAAAATGAAATTGGGTACAAAATGTCCCCATTTCCATTTTTACTACCATTTTTTAGCTAACTCCCTCCCTACTCCCTTCCTTCCTCTATACTGTTTATGCGGTTTCAATTTTTGGAATTGTGCAGGTATATAGGTTACCTCACATCTTGTTACAGAGACTTTTCGCCTTTGTCATATATTTTATAAAAACACCTATTACATTTTACAAACTAAAACTCATTTTAAGAAAACGAACAATAAAATTAAAAAAAAATATGTTAAGTTTTTTAATAACCTATGCAATACCTATTTGGTATATTTTACTTAGTTTACACGTGTTGAACTAGTAAGCACGTCTTCAAAGATTAATATGACAGATATGCCACACGTATGACAGACGACCTCCTTTAAAATCTGACATAAAATAAATCGAAAGTTAGTGTTGCGATTCTAAAATGACTCTTAAAAATATTGACTTTCGGTCACGGTTTGCGATGAATTATAAAAATAATATAACAACATATTTTTGAGTACTCTTAAAAAATACTGCCTTGTTGGTCGAGTGGTCGCAAGTGCGACTGACAGGCGGTCGTCTCGGGTTCGATTCCCGGTTTGGGCAAAGTATTACTGGGTTTCTTTTTTAAAACTCAGTAGTAGCACGGAGTCTGGAATTGTGCCTGGTATATGGCAATAGGCTCACCCCCTATTACATGGGACTCATAACATAAATAGTGAATGAAACCTACCAATATCCATGAATAATTTGATATACAAAATATGCTAAAAAATCAATATTATACTAAGAATGATAAAAGATTTGTGTCAAAGTAGTGATTTTTAGCTATTTGCAAAAATGTGGTACAGTTTTGAAACCGTACATTTTCGCTGAACATATTATATCATGCCAGTTATCATCCCTTACAATATGGTGCACTATTTACTACACAGCCTATATAATAAAATAAAACTCAAACCTTACCTTATCAATCAGCGTATCATTCACAGTCACAACCCCAGTGATTGGATCGATCCTAAACGGTACTGGCGGGTCAGTGGTCTCCAAGTCGAAGGTCACAGGGAGACTGCTCTCACTGTAGACTTTGGTGACGAAGGATCCTATCGGTTCCGTGGGCATCACATTCCAGTTCCGATCGACATGCATAATCGCCGGGAGATTGAAGCCTGGAGGCGCCTGTGAAGATGCTGGAACAAAAGAAGTGGAGATTAGAAGATAGAAAGTAGTAAATTGTATAAGGGACTTTCAAAATCAGGCTACAACTGTCGTACTGATAACAAATATACATCCTTATCCTTACTAATATTATAAATGGGAAAGTGAGTTTGTTTGTTTGTTTGTTTGTTCCGCTTTCACGCCGTAACTATTAAACCGATTGCTCTGAATTTTTGCAGATGTACAGTTAGAAGTCTCGTCAGACTCTTACTGACTAAAAACCACCCCGTTCCTTCTCCTGCACGTCGAGCCGGAGCCCCGATAACCCGTTAAGTGGATTAAGTATAGGATCATATAATAATATGTTTCATATATTTATTATCAACTGCACGCTCATTTGAGACAATCTATACTAAACTTTACACTATACATTCTATGTACTATATTTCAACACCTTTCTTATAGAGGTAGATCTAATGCATCATTACTTGAACGGTGTGTTAATTGACTTCACGATCAAAATCTTAATGTTTTGATATAAATTTCAAAACATATTAATGGCAGTTAAACTGTAATTAGTAGATTATCAGAGTACAAAACATTCTATAAATATTACTATTATTGGTCGTAAAAGTTAATGGTTATGAAATAATAGTGCTATTATTAACTACAATATCGTCACGACAATGATTAATCAAAATTTCAAATTATTATAAAAAAATTTTTAGTAAAAAGTTGTGCAGTGACCAGCGCCATGTCAACTTTATTGAACTTCATTAGATTTTGAACTCAATCGTTTTGGTACAAAATTGAAAATACAATGACAGACATTGACAGCTTGTAGATTGACATGCTGACCATTATAGGTACATGTATCTAGTTTGCAAGTAGGTAAAACTACCTAAATTGTTTTTTGCTTAGTAACTAGTACGCATAACTGAAAATCAACGGTATGTATTTACCGATAAAATAATTTTTAATTATATTTTATAATGTATTATAACATAACATCATAACATCACGCCTTTAATCCCCGAAACGGTAGGCAGAGGTGCACATTATACCACTGTATAATGTAACACCCACTTTTCACTATGTTATGAGTCCCATGTAATAGGGGGTGAGCCTATTGCCATATACCGGGCACATTTCCAGACTCCGTGCTACTACTGAGATTTTTAAAAACCCAGTAATACTTTTGCCCGACCCGGGAATCGAACCCGAGACCCCTTGCCCGGCAGTCGCACTTCCGACCACTGGGCCAACGAGGCAGCAGTATAATATATTATAATCATAAATTATATCTACTTTTCCATCAAAATACATAGTGATTAATAATCTTATAATAGTAACATAACCTTGTGAGTTTTACATAGTGTTTTGCATAATTTAAGTGACAATGCAACGATGGAAATTAGGTACCCAAACTAGGATAACCTGTGCTACAGGCTTCTGGCCCTGTCCTTTGATATATTATATAAAGACTAAAAATAAACAAAATGTATAATAGAATAACAAAAAAAAAGATAAAGAAAAATCAATTTCTAAACCGTCGAATACGGAATGTGAGTATTTTATCAGATAATACCGTTTGATTGGATGTGAGTACAAATTGTCTAGGTTTAGCAACTATTGAGGAATTTCATTTATTGTTTTTCTTTTATTTATTAGTCTGCAACATCGAATCACGTCTATTAAGCGCAAACAGTAAATACTGAAATGAAAACACTAAAACTAAGTTTTAATATGTCTGTCGGTACAATCTAATCTTCGGAATTGCCGAGCTGATTTTATTTAAACTTTACAGACAAATCAAAGGGGAAACAATACTAACTATCTACCTTTTATTAAATTTTTTCCTACGAAGTTTTCGATGCTGTTAACACGATTTTTCAAGAAAAGAAATTAAGAAACTGAATCTTGTTTATTGTTTTTTTTATTAGAATACTAGCTGACGTGGCAAACTGTTGTACCGCACCAAAGAAATTGTTTCTCATCTTTAAAATTAGCTAAATTTGTTCAGCTGTGTTTGAGTTAAGGTGCTCCCTCACCGAATCTATGTTACATTACACGTGAGCATTTACGTTTTTTTTATGACTTTGAGCATTACATTACAATAATACCTCCCTGACTAACAAGCATGTGCGTGTAATGTAACATTCAGATTCGACTTTGAGCATTTCATAGCAAGATGTCTGACGAAGCGGGCGGTCGGGGGGGCGGGGCGCATTAATGTTACAAGTTGTATCAAGATATTACACATTGTATCATAACAAGGCGCGCATTGTAATGTTCCGATCATCTCGTTCACTGATGTAATGTTTAGATCTGTAACGTTACATTACACGCGAATGCTCCCGGTGAGATACCTTTAGCGAAACTAATGAACAGCAATTCAGTTTTATATATGTCGGAGAAAATGCACCCATTGGGGGTACTTCGGAAAACGCGGTAAGTTCGGTACGAGCTGGCAGAACAACCGCTCACCCTCGTGTCCAACTCAAAAGTGACGCCTTTCAAAATGCCAACATGCCACGCCCCGTACCGACCATCACCCAAGCACACCGCTTGACGTTACCGACAAATGATAACAGATGGCGTTGTTCTAAAATAACGATACTCGATAGTTGTGCATCTTTGTTGATTCTGCGACATATATAAATCGTCTGGATTGAACTTGTATAAGGTACCTTAGGCAGGTATTATCGAGAGAAATGAAATTGATATTCTTAATTGTGCTTTAACCGATTATGATTTTCTACATAGTATACGCTCATCGCTCAGCGATCCAAATTCCAAAGTGTGTTTTGGCATCTGATACGAACTTTCTCTATTTTTCGCTATTCCTAGCAGTTTTTCACTAACTGCCAGCTCGTAACTTGCTCAAATCAGCCTTCTCTATACCTAAATGACTTAATTTTAAAAAAGTAATTCGCCTTGTACCTACTTAGGTATATTAGAGGTATTAATCTTTTGTGATGACAGCTCACAAGGATTATAAATCAATTCACTGTTGTACAAACAGTTACTTTGATTTATTGTACCTGTCTCGATGGATCTAAGGACTGCCTTGGTTTTACTGACTGACAGCCAACCTGTCTATGTTACAGTTATGATATTATTACTACTTGAGTTATTGAGTCTAAATGTATCGGTGATTTAGTATAGGTTTATAACGTATGTATAACATAAAATCACGTCTCTTATCCCCGAAGGGGTTTTTTTTTTAAGGGGGGAAAATCATCGAATGACTGCTCCCGCCTGGGTGAGGCGGGAGGGAGTGTCAGACTCTTACTGACTAAGAACCACCCCGTTCCTTCTCGTAACTTGTTAGGTTCTCCGCGACGGGATAGTTCACGATAGGAAGACGAATGGTACATTTTAAGCCAATTTTAGTGCATTTTCCAAAACTAAAATGGCAACTAACGTCTAATGCTAGTATACATTTTGCTAAAATAGGTCAAAACTTTTTATTTGTAAGAAATAATAACATATTTATACCCATAAAACATTTTCCTCTGCTTAGTATAAAGTGAAATAGGTAATGCAAGATCTAAGCTCCTCAGTGAGTTTGAATCCACGTCTCTTTAGAGACGAAACAAGCAAGATAGCTTTGAGTCGTCTAATGTTGTAAGAGACGAAGACACCGATGAACATGAAGCTAAGCTAAACCAGTATAAACTGAACGTCAAATGTAGGAGCAGATCATACAAAACGAAACGATAATAAACTGGTCTTGTGCAGCTTGATTGTAGTTCTGTGTACCCTGCAAATCCTATTACGTGAATCCAAAGACACGGCATGACGTCTATGTCTTATAAAGATTATATTTGAACTTGGTTCAGTTTAAAACTTAAATCTAAGTAAAGTTTGAACAATTAAAACATAACATAACATAACATCACGCCTTTTATCCCCGAATGGGTAGGCAGAGGTGTACATTATGCCACTGTACAATGTAACACCCACTTTTCACTATTTATGTTATGAGTCCCATGTAATAGGGGGTGAGCCTATTGCCATATACCGGACACAATTCCAGTCTCCGTGCTACTACTGTGAATGTTTTAAAAAACCCAGTAATATTTTGCCTGAACCGGGAATCGAACCCGAGACCCCTTGCCGCGCATTCGCACTTGCAACCACTCGGCCAATGAGGCAGTGAAAAATTAAAACTACGTCGTTAAGTAAATCTATTTTAGTTAAACTATGAAACACCACGAGGACACCGGTGACCGCAACCTATTGTTCTTTAATTGTGTCTATAATGACGGTACTCAACGAGTTAAAGGGTAGATGCACTTTTATAGTGGTGTAGTTTTGTTTCTCATAATTTGAATGATTGTACCCAAATTGTTCCTATAAGAGGAGATAAAATTCTTCTTTGAGTTTTATCCCCAAACTCAACAAAGTAAAACCTATTTTCGTCAGCTTTATGGCCCAAGTTACAAGAAGCGAGTATATGACCGAACTCCAGTTATGTCACAAGGAGTTTATTTCAGGTGATACAGTGTATTTTAAGATCTATTCACAGCTTCATAAATATGAGAATTTTGAAAATCAGCATGTAAGTTGCGCGTGTTGAAGGTTGAGAGACTCCTGGCTTTGCACTGCAAAAAAGGGGTCTATATGCTGAACTGTACCTAAGAGTGCGTACAAGTTTAGCGAATGAGCCGCTCGCCAGCCGTTTGTAGGCTGCTAGCAAGTTGCGCGCGTGCCCACCCTTACATTGAAACCGGTTCTTACTGTATTTTTTTTAAGGGGGAAAGTTATCAAATGACTGCTCCCGCCTGGGTGAGGCGGGAGGGAGTGTCAGTCTCTTACTGACTAAAAACCACCCCGTTCCTTCTCCTGCACATCGAGCCGGAGCCCCGGTAACCCGTTAGGTTCTCCGCGACTCCGAGTTCTTATTTTATAGGTTGTTTCTTTAACCTAATCCTAAAATTCACTTGGTCAAAATGTGGGCAACATGTTGGACCTTGCTTAACAGTCAAGGTTATGACTACTCAAACTACGATACAACCTAGGGAAA